AGACGAAAGATCTTCCTCTCTGTCTCTCCTACTCTGTATATCTGACTTTCCAATAAATAAATAAATCTTTTTAAAAACATAAAATAAATTAAAAAAATAAAGTCAACCACGTTTCTTATCTAAAATATAGACAACTAGAACAATTCAATTAACACCCAAGAGAAAATTGACAAAAAAAGACTAAAATCCCAGAATTCTATAATTTGTTTATTAATTTATTTATTTATCCACAGAGAAAAGGATTGAACTTGTAAACAGGCACAATTTGAGATCACATTAACTACCTATACCACCTCTAACAACAAAGAATCCTAATGAATAAGAACAGAGGCGTCAAATTAAGGACAGATGAAATACTAGAAGATGCAGTGCAGAGGAAAACCTACAATTGATCTGGAAAAACAATTGGTGTGGAGAAGCACTACACTGTTAAGTCTCATTCTGGATCCCAGAGCTTTGTCCTATTTGCTATGTGACTACAGGAAAATCACTTTTTTTTTTTAATAACTTTTTTCTTTGGTAAAACAAAGATAACAGCAGTGTCAGCATCATCTGATTTGAGCATTACATGCCTTTGAGGGACTTGCGTCCTCAGCGACAGTGGTAAACGCACTGCCATCTCAGTCACTGGGGTAATGGTATTAACAGATACATACAGTGGCCTCACTAGACACAGGCATTTGTTGAACCTCTGCTTTAAAGGGCTTGTGTTTTTCCATATATCTATATCATACTGGAAAACCGTACAAGTTTTTTAAAATGCAGCACACCTTTAGAACACACTCAGAAACCATCTCTTTAACAACTTATTGACATATATTGTCAAGCACGTACTCACATAAAATCTTCACAATAAGGTAAGCACTTCTGGGCCCGCGCCGTGGCCTAGTGGCTGAAGTCCTCACCTTGAATGCGCCAGGATACCTATGGGCACCGGTTCTAATCCCGGCAGCTCCACTTCCCATCTAGCTCCCTGTCTGTGGCCTGGGAAAGCAGTCGAGGACGGCCCAAAGCCTTGGGAACCTACACCTGTGTGGGAGACCCAGAAGAGCTCCTGGCTCTTGGCTTCAGATCGGCTCACCATTGGCCATTGCGGCCACTTGGGGAGTGAATCATCGGAAGCAAGATATTAAAAAACAAACAAACAAAAAAAAAAAACCACTTCTACACTGCAAACATTCTCATGCCTCCTTGGAATCTGTTCTTCTTGCTCTAATTCTACCTGAAGACAACCACTGCAATACTTTATGCTAATACAGGTTAAGTTTGAAGCAGTGTGTTAGTTTTCTGAGGCTACCAGTAGGTAAAACAATAGAACTTTATTTTCACAGTTTTATAATTGCAGTGGCAGCAAGTCTGGTTTCTCCTGAGGCCACTCTCCTTGGCCTGCAATGGGCTACCTGCCGTCCGGTTGCCTTTTCATATGGCTGGTGTCTCTAGTCCCAGTTCCCTCTTTGTATAAAAACACCAGCTAGACTGAGTTGGGACCTCATTTCTTATTAATATAGCAAAGGCCCTCTCTTCACATATGATCACATTCTGAGGTACTGAGGGTTAAAACATTAACAGAACAAATGTTCAAAGAACACGGTTCAGTCCATAACATGCAGACATGCTTTCTGCCTGGTTCTTTCAATCAGCATAATTGTCTTGAGATTCATCTACGTTGTCAAATGTAGCATTCAGTAGGGTTTTTGTTTGGTTTAGTTTGGTTTTTTTACTGCTGAATCATATTCCTTTGTATAGAGGCAATGTGTTTATCCAGTTTCCTGCTGGCAGGCCTTTGATCAGATTCCAGTGCTGGTTTCCTGCTGATACACCTCTGGGCAGATTCCAATTCTGTTTTTGTATAAATGAAGTGTCTACGAATATTTATATACATCTTCATGCAAGGACAGGCTTCCCTCGCTTTTAGGAACTGCTGGATTCTGCTGCATTACAGTGAGTATGATATGTCTCACTGTGATTTTAATTTGTAATTTTCTTCTGATTAGTAATGTTGGTCACATTTTCATCAATGTCTATATAGCCTATTTTCTTTACATGAAAGAATGATGTTCAAATCTTCTGCTCATTCATGGTTGGGTTGGTTTTTCCCTTGCCAAGTTGTAGGAATTATTATATATGCTCAGTACAAGTTCTTTATCAGGGAAATGCTTTACCACGTCTTTCTTCCACTCTTTTTGTTTTTAGAACAATATGCTTTGAAAAATAATTTTGATGAAATTCAATTTATTCCTTTGCTTTTACAGTGTTCAGATTGTATGTTCGATTTGGAAAAAAAAAAACAAATGCCATACCTAAGGATACTCAAATTTGTATTATGTTTTTCTTCAATAGTTTTATGCCTTTAAAATAACTAACAGAATTTATGTTACTGCAGTTTAGGTTATCAGAATAATCAAGCAGATAGTACATAGCATTCCATATACTCAGTTCCTCTTCTCATACTGAGATATATTTATCTGTTGCAGAATCTTGTGTTATGGTGCATTTGTTACAGTAAATCTAACAATATTCATTGTTTTTACATAGTATGAGTTTTATTTGCATATCTAGGTAGATATTCAATATTTTTATTTTTATCTAGCTGATATAACACAATATTTACTAATGGGATACATTATCCTAAATCAATTCATGTATATAATGTATAATGATAAAATAATAATGGCAAGCATTTCCATATCTTCAAGTATTATTATTATTTTTTGAATATGTTGGGAAATTTTAAAATACTCTCTAGTTATTTTGAAATATATTATAGTTAACTAAGGCAGACAGACTACTATTATTTACCCACTGTGCTATAAAATGCTAGAGCTATTCCTCCCAGCCCCAAACTGTGTTTCTGCATCGTTTATCCACCTTTCCACTCTACCTGCCCTTTCTCCCCTCTATTCAACTCTCAACTTCTACGTGATCAGTTCTTGAGCAACTTTGGACCCATGTTGTGGTATGGCGGGTTATGCTGATGCTTGGGACTCTTGTATCCCCTTTCAGAATGCCAGTTTCAATCGTGGCTACTCCACTTCTCATTCAGCTCCATGCAAATACACCTGGGAGGAAGAAGAGGGGCCTTCAAGTCTTTGAGTTCTATCATCCGAGTGGGAGACTTGCGTGGAATTCCTAACTCCTGGCTTCAGCCCGGCCTAATCTGTAAACCAAACCAGCAGATAAAGGATTTTCTGTTCTTGCTGCTTTGCTTTCCATGTGAATAAATAATATCTTTAAAAACATTATGGTGACCTATATATTGTTTATTCAAGCCCTTATTTCACTTAACATTGCTTCATCCACAATAATACAAATGACAAGATTTCTCCTTTTCTAATGACCGAAGATTCTACTGTTTTTATAAACATATACATATATACATATAATTTCTAAAATCCAATCATCCATCAGTGGACATCTTGCTTGACTCCATACCCTGATTATTTTGAATAGTACTGCAATAAACACAAATATGCATTTCTCTCTAATATAATATTATTTCCTCTGGATATAAATCCGATATGAATTTCCTAGATCATCAGTCCATTTTTATTTTTTTTTTTTAAAGATTTATTTTTATTATTTTTTCATTGGAAAGGCGGATATACAGAGAGAGGAGAGACAGAGAGAAAGATCTTCCGTCCGATGATTCACTCCCCAAGTGAGCGCAACGGGCCGATACTATGCCGATCCGAAGCCAGGAGCCTCTTCTGGGTCTCCCACGCGGGTGCAGGTTCCCAAAGCTTTTGGGCCGTCCTCGACTGCTTTCCCAGGCCACAGGCAGGGAGCTGGAAGGGAAGCGGGGCTGCCGGGATTAGAACCGGCGCCCATATGGGATCCCGGGCGTGCTAGGCGAGGACCTTTAACCACTTGCGCCACCGCTCCGGGCCCCATCAGTCCATTTTTAAAGGTCTGTTTTTTCTTTTACCACTTTGCCAAATACTTCACATACTGCTTGTATACGAGTAAAGGAGGAAAATTTCATTTTGTGCCATAGTTTGGGGACAAAATTTCATCTTTTCCCTATTTACCATGAAGTTCATTAAAGGTTTATAACATGCAGTGTCAGTGTTTACTGTTTGGGGCATATTCTTTCTATATTTAATCTATTGAAAAAATTTTAATCATGAAGGGATGTTGAATTTTATCAAATGGTTTCTTATATCTATTGAGATGGCCATACTGTTTATGTCATTCAATCTGTTGATATGCTGAACTGTCTATTGAATTACATAAGTTGAACCATTCTTATACATCCCTAGGGTATTATCCTGTATTATATAGTTGTCTTGTATAATGTTTTTGTACTCTATGATATTTTTATAGCCTATGAGCTTTGGTTTTCTAGTATTTTATTGAGAATTGTTGCAACTATTTTCATCAATATTATTGGTCTATAATTTTTTTATGGTGATCCTTGTTGTGTTTCATTTTTCTTATCTGTCTTAGGCCTTCATTTTCGGAAGGCCTAAGACAGATAAGTTCTATAACTGGGTGGGCAGGAGCTGGAGACACAAGGAATACCATTACCTCTACCCCACACAAGGAAGCAGTGGGTAAAGTGAGTTATTTTGGAGATCATCAAAGAGCAGCTTCCTATTGGAGGACATACTGATAGACAGCTTTGTTGTCCAGGACAAACGCTACCAATCATTCCATTACATTTGTGTGTCCAAACAAAATAACCAAGCAAGCAGATCAGGCATTGGGATACTGAAAGTGTCAGGTGTATCAGATACTGGACTTTGGGGTGGTTCGTTCCTGAGAAATAGCAATTCCTGAAGGAATGACAATTGCTCCAGAAGCACCAGGAATAGGAAATTTAACCTTCACCGTGTCTTGGCATAGATCCTATAGTATGCCAGGATTGCCACTCACCGCTAGCTATCAGAACTCTGCATCATGGTTACATGTAAAAATACCCATGCATGAAGCCATGCAACCCTTTCTTTACCTTTTCCCAAACAGAAATAAGAAAATAATCAAAACCATTTTTAGCTTACATGGAAGAATATCTCGGTATCTGTTCTTTTCTCTGTTAATTAGTTTACTCCCATAGGTGAACTCATTCAGCCGATTTGCAAATTCTAAATCCTTCAAAAGGCGAAAAACATAAATAGATCATATAATCAACAAAGACAGACAAAAAGTCTGCTTCTGTTTAGTATACCAGGTCCTTAAAAATCTATGTCATGCCCCACTATTTACTGTTTCAGAGAGAAGTCAGAACTTCATTTTAACAGCATTATTTAAAACCAAATACACATTCTACTCATCTCAAGTATGAGATACCAAGCCAAGCTGCTTGACAACAAGATAGCAAACTCTTTGAAGATATTTTTCCTCCTAATACTTTTCCTTTATCATAAAAGAAAATATGCAATATTCACTTCTTAGGGCTTATCTAGAAATCCATCATTCATTAAATAAAAATATTTAATAACAACAACTTAGAAAACTATAAGCAACCATATGATTCCTCTTGAAGAAATTATAGCCAGAACATCAATGAAAGAATTCTTCATTTTAAAAATTCCTTACTAAATGATTCAAATATTTGTTGTGCATGTAGCATGTAGTAAATATCGGAATGCTAATATGATTCAGGAAATGGACTCATCCTTAGGACTACGTGGGGAAACTGAAGGGTAAGTAATCAAATGCCACGTGACCGAAGCACAGAGGCACTTGAAAAACAGTGAAGTAGCATGGTGGGCATAGCCACCACTTGCAATCCTGGCATCCCATATGCACACTGGATCGTGTCCCAGCTGCTCTGCTTCAGATCCAGCTCCTTGCTAACAGCCTATGAAAAACAGCAGAAGGCAGCCCATGTGTTTGGACCTCTACCACCCACATGGGAGACCTAAAAGAAGCTCCTTGCTCCTGAATTTAGCCTGGCTTAGCCCCAGTTGCTATGGACATCTGAGCAGTGAACCACATGGAAGACCTGTCTGTCTCTTCCTCTTTCTCTGTAACTCTTCCAAGTAAATAAATACATCTTTAAAAAAAAAATCAACACTACGTTATGCCTGAAGATGCACGGAAGAAGCTCAGGAGAAGGAAGCAGTCCCTGAACTTGGCCTCAGTAAGCCATCAGAAATCAGAGGCAAAGGGGAGAGGTATCATTCTCAGTGGAAGTCAAGGACGTACACACATCCTCTAGGAGAAAAACTGCGGACTTCGCTCCAGGACTCTGTGCTTACCACATCTGTGGATGCTGACATCCCCTGTATAAGATGGCAGTGTTGTGTATCATCTACCCACATGCTCCTGTATTCCTTGATCAGATCTGGATTAGTTCTAACACCTGATCTGATATAAATGCTGAGTACAGAGCCATTGAATGCTAATGATTAGGGAAAATTAAAACAAAAAATCTTTAGACATGTTCAGTACAGATGTAATTTTACTCATTAATATTCTCAGGCTTCAGTTGCGTGCATCTAAAACAGCTGAAGCACAGGTATGGAGGGGCAACTACACCAAAGATACTGGGATGGATCAAAATCACTCTCTTTGAGTATCTGTGGATAACAGTTGAGAACCTGCCCATTGTAAAAGATTTGGTAACGGTTGGGCAGACAATTTAGTATCACCAGTCTTTAATTATTAGAAAACAAAGACTGTGAAGGTTTTAAGGAGTAGGTAAATCAGATCGGGTCTGTATCTTTTAAATCTTCTAAATTTTTCTAAGAAATAATTTTTAAATTACAGAAATGTTTGAAAACTATCATAAAACACGAGTAACAGAGAGTAACCTTAAAATACATCAGAAGTTTATATAAAATGACACTATTCAAAAGAATTTGGCGTTAGGGGGGTCGGCATCTGCTAGGATGCCTGCATCCTCTGCAGAATCACCTAGGTCAGGTCCCAACTGCCCTCCTGACTGCAGCTTCCCCCTGAGAGGTAGCTCATGACTGGCTTCCTGCCACTCACGGGTGAGACCTGGATTGAGTTCCCAGCTCCTGGCCTTGGCCCAGCCCAGTCCCAGCCACTGCAGGGCTTTGGGAATTTGTGGATAGTCACTCCCGCTTTGTTTCCTACTTTGTTTCTACTCCTCTCTTTGCATCTCTGCTTTTGGAGTAAGCAAATAAAATGTTAAATAACGTAAAGATAGATTTGATTAAAAGTACTAAATAAAATTTTAAAAGAAAAGGATTTGGTACCAGAACATGAGTAAGAAAATGAATGAACAAAGTCCTCAAATAAAATATAAATGGGATTTCAGTATGTAACAAAAGTAGTATTTTACAACACCAAAGAGAAGTTGCAGGAGTCTTGGAACAAGGAAATGTATGTAAAATACTGAGTCCCTGTCAAATACCTTAAATTCTAGCTGCATCAAAGTATTAAATATCGAAAAAAAATCATAAAACTATTGTAAGAAAATAAATTAATTATAATCTAGAATTAAAGAATATGCCCTAAGAACAAAACATTCAGAAGCCCTTAAAGAGGACCAGCATATTCGACCACTAACAGCTAGCCATGGTAAATAGGTAAATGTGTGTATGTAACACAAACTGTGGGGAAAATATACAAAACACGCAATACTATTATTTCTTCGCTCTATAAAGATGTATTAATCAAGAAGGAAAATAGCAAAGTGATAAACAAATCAACCTAAGAGCTCACCGAAAATTAACCTGACAGGCCTTCCCTGTACATGTACCTGGGAAGGCACCAGGAGATGGCCCACGTAGAAAGCCCTGGTGGAATTCAACTGCCCCAGCCATTACGGCCTTTTAGGGAACCAGCAGATGAGAAGATATTTCTTTATTCACAAATAACAGAATGCCAGGTAGATCATCTAGAAATTGTGAATTAAGTAATGAACAAAGATCGAAAAAATCTGATAGCAACAAGTACTGATGGCATTCATAGGAATGTATTCTTAAAAATCCTGACATATATACAGTCATATGCAAAGGGTGACTGTCATTTTTTAATAGCAGAAACCATAGCAATCTACATATACAACACAGATAACTATTTAAATATATTAAGCTTTTTATATTTAATTAAGTACCATGCAACACTTAAAAGAATGAGATAAAATGGAATATATATTTGAAAATTATATCTTATGTGGAAGAATTTTTGAAAAATAGTAAAGTAAATCAAGTAGATGGCAAAACGTTTGTAGAAGTTTTCATGGCATATTTATTAGTAGAAAGGAGTCCTGTAAAGTCCAAAGGGAAAGAAGTGGGAGGAGATTTTCCAATCCAACTTAAACCCTTCCATACTATACGACTTTTGGTTACCATGTAACATACTGCTTTAAAATTTATGCAATACTTGATGAAGAACAAAAGTTAAAAAGGGAACTAAAAAATAGAGAAATAGAAATAAAAACCATAAAGACTTTTGTTAAGAATAAAATATTTACCGTAAACTCCTTGATGGTATCATATTCTGCTACTTTTTTCTCAATCATTTTCAAACAATCCTTGATGGTTGTTTGTTCATTAAAATTGAATATTAATGGTTGGACCTTAGCCAGCTGAGCTAGCTCCCCTTCAGAAACAATTCTGTGTATATCTAATAAAAAGAAAAATTCACACGCATAAACGACTTACATGTATGGGAAGGGAGACTTTTACTGTTCTCTCTTTTGTAAAGGTACAGCCATGGACTAGCCAGTGAAAGTTTGCTTTTCTATCGCTGTGAGACACATTACCTTTGTTTCAGAACAATTACGGATCTGCACCTTTGAAATTACACAAAACCCACTATTCTTGGTGAGCATTGTCTAGCATTATAAACATAATAGATGCAGGAGGTTGGGACATATTATGCTTTAAAATGCAAATTTGGTAGATGAATTAATAATTATGTTAGGGCAAGAATGTACAAGATTGAATTAGGAAAATGAAAAAAAAAAAAATCTGCCCGAGACCAAATGTCTCTAGAAAATCCACCACACGTCCTATTTATTCTAACACTGATCACATACACAAACACACACACACATCCACAACTTAGCACAGAGAGGATCTGTAGTGTAATTAATAAAGCTGAATGATAAATATGCATATATGGGTTGTATTATAGTCAAAAGTAACAGAACATACTCTACTTAATAGTAGATACAGAAGTTTTTAAATGATGATCTCTTAGTCTTGCTGACAATCCAAATTCCAAATGTTTGAAATTTTCACATTATGTCCATTGACCAAAATGCACTAACTCTGGAGAGTCAACAGGAAGGGAATATTTTAAAAGTTTCAAAAATGCTACTATATAAAACTTTTTCTCAAAATTTGTTTCCAAAGCTAAATAATATGTACAAAAATAAAGTTAATAGTACTAAATTATACATACAAAAAGCAATCAAACAATTCAGAAAAGAAACCGATGGAATGTTTTACAAATCTACATATTGCTGGGAAACTTGTCTGGGCCACTCACTCTACTCAGAAACGCTGGGGGCAGGAGTGAGTGCCTGCTGATTGGGAGAGTCACAAATTCTGTAATTTCTCACAAATATGTCTAACCTTAGTGTCAGAAAAGGTCTAAACAGCCAGAAAAGGGGAGATGAAATTCTCCTAAGAGTAAAAGCCATTTTGACCATCTCTGATTCCCAGCAGTAAAAAACAAAAAAACAAAACAAAGCAAAACCCAACCCTTAAAGCTTCCCATTGAGCTCCAGCTTTCCTGGGAGGGGAAAAAACCAAAAAGGAAAGACAAGCTAGAGTGACTGTAGTGGACACTGCTGAGGGTTAGTGAAAGTCACTCAAATCATCTCACCGCAGTAATAGCTTCATCAGAGATCATTCAAATGATCAATGGGGGACAAGTTCATCCATAACATATGGGAAAGACAAGTCAGCTCCCTTCTACCTTACTCCTCTCAAGAAATACACAAGGTGTAAGGCCCCAATTATCACAAGCAGTTCTCTCGTGCCAAGAAAATAAATGAGTGGTGTACAGTAAACATTAAAACAAAGAACCTTTTTAAAAGGTCTGAGATTTGCTCCCATTCATAGGGTCACTCCCCAAGCCCAGCAAGGGCAGGAACTGGGCCAGGCTGAAGAAGGTGGCTAACACAACCCACGTATATAGCAGTAGGAATCCAAGCACTTGAGGCTGTCTCTGCCGCTTCCCAGGGACTTCATTAGTAGGCTGCTGGGGCCAGGCACCAGTACTAGCTATTGGATGTAGCTATTCTGAGGTGGAATACGTGTTCTAACTAGTGTTTTAAATATTAGGCTAGAGAAGGAAGAAAGATGGCCAATTGGGGCAGAAAGATGTGGCTGTGAGTAGGGAGCGAGCAGCAGGACCAAAATGAGTGCTGTGCAGGCCTGGAGAAGGAAGGTCTGTGGAGAGAAATGGGAGCTGTGCGGATGAGAAAATCTGTGGAAAACGCCCAAGGATGGAGCCTCAACCCCTGTCCCAACATCCACGACCCTGGGAGAGCAAGGAACCCCCAGTGTGCCAGTACCCTGCCGGAAGCCACAGAAGCACAGCAGGGTATTATGCCACCAGGTAGCAAAAAATAAAGGGAAATCTACTTGGAAATCCAAGGAATCCCTCTGCCTCCCCCCGCCAACCAAGCCCCAAAAAACAAAGGGGGACATTTCCTTGCTTCTTCTTCCAAGAAGTCTCCCAACTCATCTGAAGAAGACTCAAGGTAAACCAGGAATGACTCGTTTGTACCCCAAAGCAACAGTTACCGAATTACCAAGAAAGGCAGAGAAAGAAGAAACTATAGAGAAACAACACAGTTTAAGGTAGTGGCAATAGCCTCCCTGGCCCCATGCACCACTGAAAACACAAGTGAGAGAGAGAGCCTAGGCAGACGAAAGCCTGGATATAATCTAATCTCATAAACAAATGATATAATGGAAATCAGAGTACCAGGAATCAAAGAACTGTAGTATGCATTTCTATTCTTGAATAAAATAGACCCTCAGGTAAAACTGTTAAATATACTCTACAAATACTACAAAATACTACCATTGCGTATATCAACAATGTTATGATATACATAAAGAGCAGGATGTTGGGGCCTGGCGCGATGGCACAATGGCAAAATCATCACCTTGCAAGCAACAGGATCCCATATGGGTCTGGTTTGTGTCCCAGTTGACCCACTTTCCATAAGCTCCTTGCTTGTGGCCTGGGAAAGCAGTAGAGTAGCACACCTAATGCCTTGGGGACTTCTACCCATGTGGGAGACCCAGAAGAAACTCCTGGTTTCTGGCTTCAAACCAGCTCACCTCCGGTCACTGCGGCCACTTGGGAAGTGAACCAGTGGACAGAAGATCTTTCTTTCTGTCTTTCTTTTTGTAAAACTGCCTTTCCAATGAAAATGAATAACTCTTAAAAAAAAGAAAAAGAAAGAAAGAGAGAGAGAGAGAGAAAGAAAGAAAGAAAGAAAGAAAGAAAGAAAGAAAGAAAGAAAGAAAGAAAGAAAGAAAGAAAGAAAGAATCCCTCTGAGAACCGTTGGTTCCAGTAATACAGCACACGTTAGTCATAAAGTGGACCAGGAATGCCATGCTTGCTATGCCATGTACCACCAAAACTGTTGCCTCTCTATGCACTTATACATTGGCTAAGTGAATTTCAATGAATGCCCAAGGGCACAACAGCCTCAGTTTAAGTCTTGGAAAGGTCACTTTTCCTGCCAACACCAACCAAGAAGGTCCCCTAGGAAAAGGCTGTGGTAGATGTTGGGTAAGGGGATCTACATCGTAAGCCACACAGTATCTGAGCTTTATCCTGCTTTCCCCTATGTCTCCAGCACAGTCATCATTTTCCTAAGGTAAAATGTAGCCCTCAAAATGTAATTTATATAGGAAGGTAAGGTTTGATGAGAAATCAAAAAGAACCCTTTCATGTTCAATCCAAATTGAATACAGACAAAAATGTTTATGACAAAGATGAAAATGAAACATAAGATGCAGAAAAAGCAGTAATGCAATACAGAATGTAAAACACTTTTTAAAATATGTTATGAAATGCAAGATAACCTAAAATCACCTTGTATACAGTATCTGTAACACTAAAGAAATAAGAAAGGAATTGCCATAAATAGGAATATAAAATAGAATGTTGCAACAACATGTCATAGTGAACAGTTACTTTGCAGAAGTAAGAAAAATAAAACCAGGACTCCAAAGTACATGATGATGGATGAGCAGCACACAATTAAATCAGGTGTTTTGCAAAAACAAAGCAAGTAGTTGAAGCTGGATTTATTGACATAGGACAAAAGCATGTTTACATTAATCAGTGAAGAGAAGAAATGAAAAACCAACGAGAAGATAATGTATGCTGGCTAAAGAGTGAAGAACTCGAGAAATCCCCCCTCCTGCTATGTGCTCATAAAGAGCAGGCAAAGGGCAGCACGGCTCCTGTCACCCTCAACGCAGAGGTTAAGGTCCATCAACACTGAGCAAAGAGAACAAAGTACCCTGCACCCAGACCGTAAGGTGTCTCCTGCCTGGACCACATAACTGAAAAGGCACTGCCTGAGATCCAGGGACACCACATCTTCCTAAAACTAAGAATGAGCAAGGACATCCAAAAAATATTATCCTGAGCCTCATTACCAAGCAAGAGAAGTCTAATACAGTTATCATCAGGAAACGAACAACCCCCCACCACCAGCCCCACTGTAAAAAGCTGCACAACTGATTTCTGCACCACTGCTACCAGAGATGGTCAGCGTCAGGGCAACTTTTGGAGCAGAGGACAGATCAGCTGCATCCTGCAACTCCAGGACGGTTGCAGTATTACCCTCGGAGTTACCCTCAGTCACTCCACTTGACCCAGGAGGGCTGTCCTTAGCTTCAAGGTGCAGTAGCTCATAAAAATTCTGCTCTCACCTTGGGAGATCAGGATGCTGACTCCTCTGTACCCCACAAGATCATGACTGTAACAATTCTAATTTCTTCAATCCCGGTGGCACCTAGGAAAGAACCTAACTTATATTTAATAATTAAATTTGTTCATTTGAAGAATGCAGTAAACATTCTGAGTTTGGTTGTTGAGGTAAAAACCTGCCTAGCCCACAGCCTAGTCTGCTCTCATCTCTTCGATAGTAGCCACTAACATGATTCAGTATGTGTACGGTATCTGTGAAATCAGAAGTTGGAATTCTCTGGACCCATAACTGCCAAAGTGAAATCTTTTGAAGACTTTCTGTGGTCATCCTTTTAAACTGGAGCAGGATTGAATTCCCATCCCCCACCCTAGGACTAGGGCTGCTGGTGTTGTAAACTGCAGTAACAAATGCACTCTCCCAGAAAGACCTAACAAGAAACAAAGCAAAAGCAACAAATCAAGTGATAACCTGAAGTATAAACTCTTCTATAACAACCTACTCTACGAAGAAGAAAGAACTATTACACCTAATGTGAAGATGCCAACCTTGAGACACAGGGCAAGTGAAGAAACAGACAGCATGACACCTCCAATAGAACACAGAAATCCTCCAGAATTAGATCCTCATCTGAAGGAAATCTATCAGATGCCAGAAATAGAATTCAAAGAATCATTATAAGGAAACTCAATGCAATGAGA